TAAGTTATAAAATCATTTATCAGCCCAGACTTGTTACAAATAGATCGAGAGTTCAAAAGGCAAAAATCCAAAGGTACAACGGTCGATCACTTACACTGCAATGGATCCAGACGAACACAATTTAAGTTGTTCCTACTGACACCTAAAGGGCGTGATTCACAGATTTGTAACTTTGAAGTGGCATTTTGAATATTTAATGAAACATGATAATGGTGACGACCAGAACAAATCACAGGAATCCTAAGACCATTTCCCGTTGATTTTTGTTTCTTCGACCTTCCAGCACGCTTCCTCCGGTATCTCAAAAGACTCATAGCTTTTAACTTCCCCAGAAATGCAGGCGAACAGTACTGATTACTGCAGTGACGAAGAGACAGTAGCCGGTTCCTCTCGTAAGAATGCACGAAGGTTGATAATGCTTCAGATGTCTCAGGTCAAGTCCACGAACACTGTAAGAGCTTGTAGTAAAATGGGCCGTATTATTTAACGAAGAACAACAAGGACCAGGATTTCTTTCAACGTCAACACAGATAGTTAGATCAGAGGAAGGCAGGAAGAGGCACACGAAGCCGACTTTGTTCCAGCTAACGATCGGTCGACTTGAGCTGTAACTCGGAATATCTCTGCGGAAGTGAAACCTCGGTATCCAATGGAAGGCTGGTTGTAAAGCACGTTCCTTAGCAGTACCGACATGGCGAAATAAACTTAAAAAACCAGAAGAAAGCAGCAGAATTAGACGCAAATTGCGGACAGCAAAATTCGTGGCTGCCATCATACATCATGGCGCTGTCATACATAATGAGTAATTGAAGGATTATACTTGTGTGATGCATATTAAGTTGACAAAGATAAGACGAAAGGAACACACAAAGGTAGAAACGCTATTAATAACTTCCTAACAAATATTTATTCTATTTGAAATTATGCTATTTACAGAGTGGTAGGTAACAAAACTGTCTTTACATAAGTCATAACTCTTAAGTCATCTATCTGATTCAAGTGAGACCTTTGACTCGGGAGTGAAAGATTTCTGAGGGTGATTGTTCCTTTCTTCACTCGGACTTGTAGATTACGATCTTTAAGCAAACAGAAATGACTTGAAATGTAAGAGTCCAATCGTGACAATCCAGAGGTTTCTGTTCAAGTAAGTGACGCCTTAATACTCAAATTTGATAAAGAAAACTACGAATATCTCTAGCAAATTTTAGTATTAGTAACTTTGGATGAAATGTAATGAAGGGAAATTTTCGGCTGAAAATTTTTAATCTTCCACTATACATTCAGAGAAATTTTCAATTGAGTGTCCGAAGTATTTTGGGATTGCTATGGTTTTACTTTCTTCGCTTTGGGATTGGTCCACAAAACTCGGGCCACCTTCTCACCCAATCAGATGCAGAGCTTAAACATTCGCGTTTCCCCCGTTTGAAGCTGCTTGCTTTCACTTTGAGTACTCATTGGTTATTGGTTAGAGCAATTTGAATTCCATTCCATTCGCTCGGACAAAAGGCTAATGCTCAAAACGTCAGATTTTTAACTATTTACTGTGACCAATTTACAAATTGAACTTAGTTGATATAACCAAATTACATTGCAGCCCCCACCGATGCAGCACCACAGTTTCTTTAGAAACTTACACCCTTTATTCATTTGTCTTATTGTCATTAGGCAAGTTTTCCATGGTACAAAGCTTGTGTAAGAAAATCATTTGTTATAACGAAAAGATGACAAAGAGTTAAGGCCTACGGAAGAGGTATTTCGGCCTTGTCAAACATTGATAATAAATTACAAAAAACAGATAACATGTTTGTAGAACCGAGGCATTTTTATCATACCTTCAATATAGACGCAAAGTTTGGCTCTGGGTTTGCATTGTAAACCAAAATCTACGTAACAAAGAATCTTAGATTAATCAGTTTATCGAGGTAGATCCGTCTACAGTGTAATTAAGCCTCCAAAGCCGACAAAAGACGAGTAAACGAAGATATGGATAATCAATGCACATTATTTAAGACACTGATCATGAGATTGTAAATGGAAAGAATTTTTTTACTTTGCTGTCCCTCAGCTCGTACACCTTTCATAACTCAATAAAAGCGTATTTCTGATATAAATCTCCATTACCAAGCACGCCGCCGAAAAGTAGTTGAACCTTTCACAGTCACAACGACAAGAAATTGGCGATTGTGCCGACACAAATCTTAATTTAAGTTTTGATACTTTGTTGAATTGTGATATTCACACGATGTTCATATGGGTTTCTCTCAAGATAGACAGAGGTAAAGTGATGCATTAGCAAATCAAAAGAGCTTGTCATGTATATGACGACTTGTAAAAGGGTGGTCAAGGTCGAATTGATACATAACGACTTGTTTACGGGACATTCCAGCAGCAAGCTAATCTATTTGCTTCGCCATCAAAAAATGTCAAAATGTAAAGTAGGCCGTTTCCCGAGATGCCGAACGCCCCTGTTTATATAACTGTAAATTCAACAAAGAGATGAAGAAAAAAAAGAAGAAAAGAGAAGCAAGTAAAGTTCTGTGTTTTCTTTTAGCTAAATCACAGGAGATCGGAGCTAGCTTCCATGCTACTTTCAAAAGAGAGCTCTCTATCTGCTATCAAATATTTGAACATAGAGCAGAATAAATTTTATCATAGTTAGTAAGGAGTCAAATCGTTTGTTGGACTTTTTCACACATAATTCTTTTCATAGTTGCTTTTTTGAAAGGTTTTACATCTTGACGTCTTTTCATTTGCTCTAAATAACGGTTTCAAAATGGTTCGAAAATTCCNCTGCGGTATTAGATACGTATGATGCACGATCCTCGCAGTAGATAGCGCTATTTAAGCAATAGCGAAAATCAGACCTGAAAAAAATCAGGCCTGTACGGGATTCGAACCACTGACCTCTGCGATACTAGTGCAGCGCTCTACCAATTGAGCTAACAAGCCAACTGGGAGCAGGCCATTAAGTTGATTCGTAATAAACCCGTGAAAGTGATAAATCAGATACAATGAAATATATGAAGTTCATATATTTTGAACTGCGGTATTAGATACATATGGTGCACGATCCTCGCAGTAGATAGCGCTATTTAAGCAATAGCGAAAATCAGACCTGAAAAAAATCAGGCCTGTACGGGATTCGAACCACTGACCTCTGCGATACTAGTGCAGCGCTCTACCAATTGAGCTAACAAGCCAACTGGGAGCAGGCCGTTAAGTTGATTCGTAATAAACCCGTGAAAGTGATAAATCAGATACAATGAAATATATGAAGTTCATATATTTTGAACTGCGGTATTAGATACATATGGTGCACGATCCTCGCAGTAGATAGCGCTATTTAAGCAATAGCAATCCTGTACAGGCCTGATTTTTTTCAGGTCTGATTTTCGCTATTGCTTAAATAGCGGTATCTACTGCGAGGATCGTGCACCATATGTATCTAATACCGCAGTTCAAAATATATGAACTTCATATATTTCATTGTATCTGGTTTGAAAAGTGTGCTGGTGAACGGCAGTTTTGTGTTCGCCGAGGGATTTGCGACGAAGCTCTATGTTCCGTCCATTCCTCTCGCGGCTCTTAATGTGAAATATTTTATGGTCTTCGTATTTCCCGTCTAGTTGTCTAAGTTTCTTTGTAATCGTTTTATGACGTTGTTTTCGTGGTTATTTGGCGGATATGATTGTCCACGTACAGTAAACGAAACAAAGAGCTCCATTATGCTTTGTTGTAGCTAGCATTTTGTAGATCGTGCTTAGGAAGATTTTTCAGTTTTAGTCTGCGAGTCATCGTGGTAAGATCGAGAGCTAAGGTTCAACAGCAACTCTGTAAAATCCCTAACGCGGACAAAGAAGTAAGTCTTATTTTACTTTATATGCATGTTATCGTTTTCAGTTGTCTGTTTGAACTCTAAACGCTCCTTTTCGAAGTTTGTAAATAGTTGTTAGCTAGTATAATTTTAGTTTTTGCTATATTTACTTCTTAGTTTTCGAAACTTCTCAACGACCAACGCTTAACGCTCAACGCTCAACGCTCAACGATCAACGCTCAACGCTCAACGCTCAACGCTCAGCGCTCAACGCTCAGCGCTCAACGCCCAGCGCTCAACGCTCAGCGCTCAACGCTCAGCGCTCAACGCTCAGCGCTCAACGCTCAGCGCTCAACGCTCAGCGCTCAACGCTCAGCTCTCAACGCTTTCCGACCGCTTTTCAATTCACACAGAACCGATCTCCAACATCTTTCATCGCTTCGCTTCAATAGACTTTGTTTACTTTGTTCACATTAATGTCGTCTCCGACTTTGTCTCTATCTGTTACGAAGCACGCACTAGAAGTTCTTTTGTTAACGTGGGATTAAACGATCGCCTGTGAGAATGTTTAATTCGCGCTCACAGCGGCTTTCCCGTTCATCGCTTTATATTAGCTGAAACACAAAACTGCTGGCTACCAAGGTGCAAAGAAAGTTCAAATTTCAACCAGTTTCTTGATGCTTGTTATTCTATGGTGCTTCAGAGTACAGGCACTCTTAAACTTAAAATGTTCTTTCGAACGGTACTACAGAGACAAGATCAGAGTCCAGTCCAGTGAAAATTTCTTCTGAAACGTACCGCGAGGAAACTGGATTCTAGCCGCCTGGTAAAATCAAAATCAAACACGGTCCTTTGTATGTCTTGATGCTGACTTGTTGCTTGAAAATTTTACCTCTCATTCAGGTAAGCTTCTGTTTTACGCTCACATTAGTTAGGTGAGAGTGAATTGTAGCTAAAATAGTTGATAACGAGTTCTGTTTATTCAACATGTAGGTCTCAACCGACCTTTGTTATTGTATAGTTCAAGGGTCGTGGAGTATCTAGATCGTCATCCAGAAAGCTTCTGTAAAAGATTGTTTATTTGCTTAAATAGTTGGTTTTGTAGTGCTTTTGTTGTTTCTTGTTTTTTTTTTTGTCTCTAATAACTTAGCAACGTTCAATTCGAATGTTGAAAACAGCATAATCCAGAAAGATCTTTTGTACCATGTCATGGGTAAATACTTGCTAGATATTTAGTTATATGCACATCTTCCTTCTAAAAGAATAGTACGAGAATGCTACAAAAGGGGCCATTAGTGTCTACAGCTCTGTTTATTAAAGGTCATAGGGTCTTAAATCACTATATTTTATTGCAATATTTTGTCGCAAGCGACAAATTTGTAACATCGGACGTCGAGGCCTGAACAGCATAATATCAGGGCTGGAAAATATGTACATTATTTATATTCCATCAACTGACAGTTATTTGAAACGGAGAGTCTATCTGGATGTTTTTCTTTACTTTCTTGGTAATATATGCATGCTTTTTAAAAGCTATTTTCAAGGACAAACCACAATTTTAACCCGAGGAACAGATTTTCATCAGTTAAACTTCCGAAAATGAAACAGAGTTTCGTTGACAACTGAAAGTTTTTCTTCTTTAGGTGCTCTTATTTACAATAGTTTACCGTTAGAGATCCGGAAACTGAACTCCTGAGTCTTATTTAGGCAAAAAGTCGATGAAAATTTTTATTTGTAGTTTTTTTTTATAGTATCTCTTTTCACTGCTAACTTTCCACTTGTACATTTTACAGGACTCCTATTATTATTGGCTTGTGATATGGCAAATTTAACAAATGATTTTAGGTACAATGTTAGACTTTTTCTGCAAATTTCATTAGATTTCCTTCAATATGGGTTATACTTTAAAACTGGTTAAATTTGGCTGGGCTAGCTTCTGTATATCTATGCAACCTTAACGTGATGTATGTGTTGTAAAAATGTGATATTTTCAAGGCCTCACTTGATTTTAGGCCTTGTCTTTGGTGCATGTGATGCTCTGTGTCAGAGCAGGCAATGTTCCTTATAACTGTATAGATCATTATAGATGCAGTTCTTAGATAAAAGAAACAATTGGCAAAAACAATGGATTGACTCAAAGACTATCATGGTTTTGTTTCAGTATTGTATGAGGTTAAATGCAAATTTATATATTAATTTTAACACTTCAGCTTTCTAGAATAGTATGGGTTCTACAGAAGTGTTTGAGTGCTTTTCTGATGGATGTACCTGGATCTGAGATATATTTCGTTAGAGCCTGTTGAAATATAATGACCATGATAGGGGACAGTGTTTATTACACATTGGCACTTTATGAATTCATTTTAAAATCTTACACTGGATATTTTTTTCCCTTTCTTTGTTCTTAATAATTGTTTCACAGCAAACATCCCTTAAGTGATGAAAGTGATGATGTTTTGTGATTGAGTAATGAGCAGTGATTCAGTTTGCACAAGTATGTCCTGCAGAGCTATTTTAGATTTTTGAGAGTCTCTCGGTACTCACAAATAAGAAGTGGGAAATGTGATGGCTCTGACATCAGATCATAGAATATTCAACAATTTTTCTGGTTTGGACCTAGAAATATGTTAACTTGTTGTAATCAACAACTACTGTACATATTTTGGTACTTTGACTTTTCACTTTTTGAAACTTTGAAGAAAGAGTTTTTAATTTCCTAGAATTTCCAATGGGATTGTCTGATAATATTCTTTTAATAATAGAAGCAAATTGAGACCTGAGTTTTTTTTATAGAGCGTGGGCATGTTCAATTGTTTGTTAGAGGCAGACCTTAAAAATTAGTAATTTAATTAGTTATTTGTGTAATCAAATGGCGACGAGTGAAATTAGGAAAAAATTTCACGCGCATTTTTTCAAAATTCTGATAATTTCCCGAGCCTTTAGGCGAGGAAAATTATCAGAATTTTGACAAAACACAAGTGAAATTATTTCCTAATTTCACAAGAAAACCATTTGATTACCTTTTAATATCGTGGGTGATAAATTACGTTCACAACCATAATTTTTTTTACTGGTTTATTCTATCAAAAACCGAGAGCATGAAGAAGAATATAGTTTTCGTTTAAAGTATACATTATTGTTAAAGTTCGTAATTTTCTGAGTTTCTTCACAAACAATACCTTTTGAATTCTTTTAATTTTGTAACTTCTTCAAGGGTCACCGTCTTAAATCTCGATGCCATCTTGGCTCTGATCGAGATACAAGAGGTGTTACCATGGCAATTTTGTAATCTCACATGTGAAATTAAAAATTAATGCTGAAATTTGGTGCCAAAATTAAGGAGTAATTTGTCACCTATGATATTACAATTGATTATTTGTCAGAGGCAGACCTAATAAAAATCACAATTAATTAAGTACTGTGATGTTGTGCCTACAATACCACATATTTAGTAATTACCAATGGCCAAAACATATAAATATCATGGTTCTTTCCACTGCAAAGGCATGGAGTACTCTGGCTAGTAAACTGCAAAACATAATCTCACTACCTAATGTTAAGAAATTTCTCACACTTCTGTGATAATGTTGATAATGTCCTCAATACATAGCAGATTATATTTTTTCACTGGATTGCTAGGACAAATATTATGCACAAAAATAATGTAATTTATTTGCTGGTCAACCTGTATTAAGAGGTCACCCATTATTTAGCAGTCTGAGCTTACCATTCCTGATGGGTGCAGCGATTGGGAAGGCAAAACAGGCATAATTTGGGCCTATGGTCCCTGGCTTTCAAATGTTATATACCATTTCTAATAAGTATGGGCCTTTGCAGTAATGGGGTAGGCTAGAAGAAAAGACACATTGGTATTTCTGTCAGTGAGGCAGAGCAATTTTACACGGTACCTTGCAAGTACATCGTAATGAGAAAGTTCAATTGAGGTGTCTCTTTAAAGTGCACCTACACCCAGCCATGTATGAAAGTGGTCTATACTCNTAACTTATAGGGGCTAGCTCAAGAACCTCACTGTTCCTCTATTGGTATATTCTCTAGGCTCCACTAATGATTAATCTAGGCTTTTTTTTATTTTAACTTTGATTTTGCTAGTTGATTATAAATTATTAAAATCTTATTTCACCTCAATTCCATTTTTGTGAGACTTTTGTTTCATACAGCAAGGCATTCCGCGTTGTGGATTGATCCGCCATTCTGCCGTTACACCCTTCCATGGAATCACTGTAAACTCAAGATATTGTATTTCGGACCTTGCTCGCTTCGCAAATTTAGCGGGTCTTTTGAGCATTTGTCGCTGATTGAAATTATGAAGTGTTCTCTTTTCGAATGAATAAAATTTTTCGTCAAAGTTTCCACTGACGATGTGCAGATCAAACCCGTTTAGATAATTCTTAGAGGAAAAGTCTTTTATAATTTCGTGCCAGAGACGCCACTGTGAACTTATCTTGCAGTGTTACAGTAAGAACTGATAAAATTATATCTTTGGATCTACTGGGCATAATTCGCTGATTCGAACGGTAAAATACTCTTTCTCTAAAGAAGAAAGTTTTCCTTTTAAGTTTCCTCGATGCACCGATCACACTTTTGAGACATTTCTGCAAGGTAAGGCTTTGTTTTTTTTTTAGAGCAAAGACATCTACAGAGATGCAGCTAATTCTCACCTTACACGACCTGGCAAAGGCTATTCAGAGCTCATCGATCCACGCGGTCGTCTTGGACTTTGCCAAGGCTTTTGACAAGGTCCCTCATACGCGTCTCCTAAGGAAACTGCACCACTATGGAATCCAGGGCCCGCTTCTAATCTGGTTGGAGTCGTTTCTTACACATCGTTTTCAATCAGTTGCTTGCGAAGTCCAAACATCAAATCAACTTCCAGTGACTTCTGGTGTACCCCAAGGTACAGTCCTTGGCCCGCTACTTTTCTTACTATATATAAACGACTTACCAGACAACGTGCAATCAACAATTAGGCTCTTTGCGGACGATGCTTTACTCTACGGCGTTATCGCTAGCGATGCAGACTGTGACCTTCTTCAATCTGACCTACACAGACTAGAATCCTGGCAACACTATTGGCAAATGGAGTTTAGTCCTTCCAAATGTAAAATTGTTACCATCTCACATAAGATCAACCCAGCCCAGAGAAAATACGTCTTCTGTGGTGTAGAATTGGAACAGTTGGATAGCTTCCCATATCTTGGGGTTACTATTAGTAACAAGCTTAAGTGGTCAGACCACGTTTCCATCATAACAGCTAAAGCAAACAAGTCGCTAGGTTCACTCCAACGCAACCTTTGAAATTGCCCAAATAATGTAAAAGAAATTGCATATTCATCCCTAGTACGGCCGAAGCTGGAATACGCGAGTGCGGCTTGGGATCCGTTCTTAAAGAAAGATGTCAGTGCCCTGGAAAGGGTTCAACGTAAAGCAGCACGGTTTTGCTCGCAGAATTATCATAGATATGCTAGTGTTACTGACATGATCAAAGATTTAGGATGGACCGCATTGGAAACGAGAAGAAGGCAGTCTCGGTTCAAAGTACTTATGTATAAGCTAACTCGCGGTCTTATTGATATAGATAATCGAGAATATTTGGTACCGCACTCCGACAGTTGCACGAGGGGAAGCCATCAATTTAAGTTTGAACTGCCATATGCAAGGAAACTG